ATTCTATGTATTTGTTTGAAAAATTAATTGTCATTTATTCAAGTGAAAATGTAGATTTTTATAACAGCTTATACAAGTACCTGCAGTAAGGAATAAATAATTATTCGAATAAATTCTTATTAAATTGATTAAGTATTCATGCTGCAAATACAGTTTGATTCATTATTGTTATTTCTTATTTACCATTCGCATAAAATTAAATATTCAATAAACATTATTTGAAGAATAAGTATTTTCAAAGTTAATAAACATTTTTGATTCTATAATTTATAAATATATGAGATGAAAATTAAATATATGTTTGTTAAAATAACAAATGTTCTGTATGTATTGTGTACAATTTGCATGAAGTAATAGTTTAAACAGCCAGCGCACCTAGGTAAATCAAATATTCGTATTTTAATAATTTAAAATATAAAATTAAACATTTGAATCGTTCAAATAATTTAATAAAAGATTCGATATTATAACGCGGGAAATCATAATATTCGAGCTTTATTTTCTCTCCAACAACAACAATTTATGTGCGCAATAAACATCGCTCAAAATTATCATCATTTAAGCTACTCCTCAATGAGTACAAAATTACCCCATAATTTTCAGTATTCTTCAAAGAAATCACTGCCTTCCAAAAAAACACCATTCTAAAAATTCGTTAAAATAAAATATTCCATTTTAAATTCAAATCAACTAAAAACAAACAAAATAGATCGTACACGATTGTAAATAATATTTCACTTACCGATCCCAAGTGACGATCAACGAAGCATAACGCGCGATCAGAGTATCCTCCATAAGTGCTAAATAAAAAGTTATAAAAAAAGCCCCATAACATACGTGTAATAAAATGTACATAAAATCCCATTTACCATTCAGTTAACAACCGACCAGAAGTTCTCGCCATTCTTCGGTAAACACCTCCCTTCCCCCGCCGCTCGTTATCGTATATAATCACCGTTGTTGACGCGCTCTGCGACTGGCCATCCCTCGGAGCGAGAGATCGCCTGTCCCTTTTTCTCTCCCGCTCCCTCTCTATTCATCCTTCGGTGAGGGTTTTCGCGCGTCCGGCAGCGCAAAATACGCGTAGAGTCCTTGAACTTCTCGTCCATAGTTAAGAACTCGCCGCGGAAAGTTAATTATGCCAATTTACGCGCGGAGACCATGAAGTTTCTTGGCTGAACAGTCGGATAAGAGATATCAAGGAAGGCGGAAAAGAGACGGAGCGAGGCGGAAAAAGAGAAGAGAAATGGAAAAGGGGATGAAGAAGGGTTCAGAAAGTATGGCGTAGGAGGAGGGGTCGATGGTCGTTTGAAAAAGGGCGAAGGGAAAGCGGACGGGATTGAAGGAGGAAGAAGAATCGGGGGTTGGCAAGAAGTGGCTCGTGTAGCTACGGCTAGGTAAACGGATCGACGATCGTTGGAAAAAGTTTTTCCGAGTTCCGGTGCCTCCTGGCCTCGTACGATCGCCGTGTCTGTAATTTCCTTGCGGCAGGAAGTGCAGTCAACAGGTGATTCCTAAGGAGACGGCAGGTATTTAAAGTGGCAACGGGGTCATCTCTGTTTGTGACGTTCGGAGAGGGGAGCGGACTGTAACGGTTGGGCGTGTTTTGAGAAAAATGGATTTTTCCCCTCTCTTCTTCCGTTCCTTCTTTGTTTCGACGTTTTCTTCTTCTTATTTTTCGTCGTCCCGAGGTTCATTGATTGTGCGTGACGTTAATGGTTGATCGTTCTTGTCGTAATAAATTTCTTTTCCTGTTTCGGAGATATTTAAAGGGGTTGGAGTTGGGGTTGCGGGTTGTGGGCGCAGCTTGAGGAATGAATTTGGAACACGAAAGTGTAGTGGGTGATTGATTGTATCAGCTGGTTAGGCGACGTGATGTTTGGGTAATTGAAGGATGTTTTGGCGCGAGACTGATTATTTATTGCAGGTATTATCTATTTTACATAGTGATTTACTTATGCATGTTTTGTGTATGCATTTTAATTTTTCGTTTTGTATACATTCTCACTGTGTATTATTAAGTTTAGCATACGTACAAAAATGTCACTGTCACTACAAAACTTATTTGTCCCTGATGAAATTATATTATTCCTCCCATTTCTTTATTTATTTCTCAATTCGAAACAGTGGTTTTTCATACCTTCCCAGAAAATCAGACAATCTATCTCAGTAATCCAATTCACAATTCATAAACTCATAAAAATTACTCTTCTCATCAGTCTAATATGAACTCCTAATCTCCTCAAACGGTGGACATAAACCTCCATTTAATTCAGTACAATGTTTAAAAAAGCAAACTACCCAGAAATGATCAGAATCCAAGCTCCTTCCAACAACGATTACCAAATGCGACACTTTCGTTTCATCCTGAAAGTTAAAAAACCCGTATTTCTCGGTTTACCGGAATTATCCCGCTAATGGGGGATGATCGGTATACTTATACCTCGCCGGGTAGATTATTCGAAGTTTTCCGAGGCCGATGTATGCGTTGGCCGGTAGATCCGTTTTCATCGCGTCGGCTCAATTCGACTCGTAGCTGGTGTGTGTTACGAAGAGAGGTTCGTCCTCGGCCGTCACATTCGAACTGCCGCTGCACAGGCGTGGGCCAATCAGCCGCGAGGACCACGCGTCGCCGGCCAACGGGAGCGTAGCTGCGCCGGAAGTACGCTGCTCCGCGCCATTGCTGCACAGGCGGGGCATCCCGCGAAAACGCGGGATCGATTCCCGCGCAAAAAGCCGGCCAATCGCAGCACCCTCACTCTCGAAACTACGGACTAACAATCGGAACTCTACCTTCGCCCCATTCCTGACCGTTCGGTTGGCCGTGCCCGCGTCCACGCGTTTTCCTGGACAACACAACGCGACGCGGCTAGCATTAACATTAATTAGAAGAGGTATCGATGGTCTTCTTTGAGACAGTCAAGCCGGTACCACAAATATTACCATCGCGTTTGAAGCCTCTCGCCATTCAGCTTCTTGCAACTTGTTCACTTGATCATTATCCAGGATTTGCTGTCACTTTAACTGAAAGGTGGATTCGTTGCGTCGATTTAACGGCGATTGCGGTGGAGCTGAAGCCGAGGCAATTTTTTAAAGGTGTTGGGGTGGAAGAGTGTAGGATGTAGGGTGAGCTTCGCTTATTAGCGTTGTGTCTATCATTTGGGACTAGTGGTTATTGAAATAAAATTTGGTTGTAACGATTAAATAGGATTATTTTATCTTGGCTAATGTTATTTGAGTAATCACGTATTTGAAAAGTAATTTCATCAAAAGAATAATGATGTTTCCTCAGCGCGAACTATCGGACGATAGAGGAGATGTCAAAAAAAAAATGTAGGTGTTGAGGATCACTGCTGACACCTTATATCGCGTGAAACTATTTTTATTCCATTGATTGAAAAGAAAGTTTGTGTTGTAGCTTGCTTTGATGGTGTCTGAATGAAAGTGGTCTGTTCTATTGCGTGTTCTAATTAGATGTTACCTCAGGTTTAATTTAGTCTTTAAAGACTTCTTGAACAGCATTTCCGCAACATTTGGAAGTCTTGGATCCTTCTATTATGGGAATACAAATTGGCCAAGTTACATATTGATCGTCATAAGTCGCCAGGTCTTCCAGTGTCCACGCCACCAAGTACGCCTCGTTAACTTTAATCAGTGATTAATGGGTTCGCAACGCTTTCGGATGCCCCTCGGACGTACCTTGCATTGATCATCGATTGGCTAGTCCCACGGAACACTTATCATGTTGTCGATGAACAATTTTCATGTCACGTGTAGTCTGCGAACAACGAATAATAGAACGAACTCTCTTACGAGTCATAGACCAGTATCTTTGCCTCGTTGCTGGATATTACAACGCTGAGCCTTATTTTTTCTCCCTTCACTGAGTAGCCTTACGACGCGAATCGCAGCCGAGTACGCGATGCTGACGTTAATTAGGAGTCGCGCAGGTTCTCTATGACGTAACGGACACCTCGGACTTAAAGCTTCCTTCGCGCAGCCCGTCCGTCCCGTGCTCTCTTGCGCCAGGTAATAACTTGGCTAACCAATAGGATATCGGCGCTTTCATATTGCTTGGATAGTAGATTGTTACAGACCGTGACCGATCAGACACCTGTTCCATCAAGAACGTTGCGGGACGTAACGGCTACTTGGACGATGAAAAATTCTAATCACGTAAACACTTACGACAGATCTACTTTTTGCAATCAAATATTAACGTTACGGACATCCTACGACATGGCCTATACCTTTGGAATATTTAATAAGCGCAAACACGGTTCCCTCTAATACCGATTTCGTTGTTCTGAATGATCAGTGGATGAGCCAGAATTTCCAATCGATTTATATTACGGGTGGTTTAGAGGCGGCGATCGATAACGGGGCGTGCGAAGCGAATAAAATTCGCCGGAAACGTATAAACGGAAGTGCGGCATCTAAATCGGGCGTGTTTAATTTCTTTTTATCGTTGTCGCGTCCGCGGTCGTATTTCAATGGAAATAATTTTTAACCGGTTCGGTGGCCGGCGGTTCGTGTCTTAAAACGTTTCGTGACGAAACAATCGTTTTAATGGTCGATATAATGCAGAAGGCAACTGTTATTCACTTTTAGCGGTTTTCGACATTAGCGCACGGTAAACAAAATGGCCGACCCCCTTTTCGGACCCCCCTTGCCCGGTCGCGATCGATGAAAATGGTTGCCTAGCTGCGGCCAGAATTTTGCTGCGCGATATTCCGCCCAATATTTCGACCTGCATTCTCTCTCTTTCCTCTTCTCTTCCTGTGCCTCTCGCCCACTTCCTCCCTCTGTCTCTCTTTTCTCCTCTCCCCCCACTTTTTCTATTTTCGGCAACGATGATTTAATTACATCGATTCGGTGCCATCTTTCTTGTTCGCTCGGCCGATTCGTCGTGTTACTTAACCGACGGCTTGAATTTTATATGCCGACGTCGCGGTGGACTGCGTTTTCGGGTAACAGTGAAAAATATTTTTCGGTAACAGGTAAGTCACGCTGCATCGAACTTCAAGGGCAACTGATGTCGAATGCGTCGCACCAGCCGTTGGAAACACGTCGATGTTCATTTTTCATCGGTCAAGCTGATTACGGGCTTATTCTCCGCACGGCTCACGATTGATCGAGTCGCGGAGAAAGCGGTACTTTTTATTCACTATCGTTGCTATTATTTACAGTGCGCATTTGTATTGACGCACAGAATGATTAGTTTGCGTTGCAGTTTTATATAACCAGCGAACTATTTATTTCTTGCAGAAATAGGTTGAGTTATCCAAGACAGATATATGTTGTGTTAGTTTAAATTTGAAATTGCTTTCGGTGCACTGTGATGAAGAGATCTTCCGTAAGCAACTTTGTTGATTATACGGTTAGGAAAACTGTGCTAAGTTTGTTTTTAAACAGTGTAGGAGTGTTTACCGGAAGTTGCACGAGAGCGGTCTCGTTCTGATAAACGATAAATGTAGGTAATTGGTAATTGTAATTTCTATGTACACTAACTAGGAAGTGTAATTACAAGAAATTGTGATGTACACAGCTTAAGTAACCTTATATCTTGAGTATATCTGGCTATAAAACCAACGTCAGTTTCATAATTAAATAACAAGTTTCATGTTAAAATTAGAGATGGTACATTATCCATTAAAAGTTGTAGTTTTCTTATGTCATGAGTGGTTTTCAAAGTAGATGCATCAGAACTCAGGGAATTTCTTTAAATGATCACAAGTGGTGAATTTATTATACTCGAAACAAAGGAAATAATCCTAATCCTTGAACTCGACTAACCCTAGATGTAACGGACGAGAAAGTTATTAATAAATTCACCTCATTCATTCTTAATTATGAGTTCTGATTATTCTTCGTGCAAAAAGAAAATGTAATCATACTTAGCAGATATTTAAACTTTCATTTTAGCAAGTACTTATATATATATCAAACACGAGAATCTTATTTTCTAACGGATCATGTTAAAGAGGAAAAAGATAGACAATCTTAACAAATTTTAAAGGAGTCAGAAATTATTTCCTTTTTCTCAGTTCAAAGGTTTTCGATAAATCTGAATTGTCTCATGAAATTCTTAATTATAATACACACTGTTTATTACTTTCAAAAACTATTACTTTTATATCACGCATATCTTCCACATTAACCATAATGTTTCAACCTATCGAAAAGCTGAACAAAAATTCCCCATCGGAAACCTCCAAACGAGCCTCAAAAAAACATCGAAAAGGAAGGCACCAGCCCCATCGAATATCTCTTTGGAAATCATGTGGTGTTCATTGGAACTGTGTACTGTTACACTAAACACTTTATCCGAGTGAACGTGAATAGCCCTGCGATCGATGTTATTAACAGTGATCGTTGAATAGCATCGGTGGCTTTACGGTGTTATTCTTTGAAAGAGTCCTCGTGTAACAAGTCGATGAGCTATCGGGAGGTGACGAGGGGGGCGGCGTAGCGGAGCACGTTCAAAGTGAGCGTAATCACGCAGGATCGAAACCCGGGGACAGGGAAAGTCATTAATCGCGGATTGAAATATATCGCGAGTCGTCTCTAAATCGAATGGAAATATTAATCTGTGCGGCGGCGGCGGCCGCGCGTAATTATTCCTGCGGTCGAATTCAACTTCGTAATAATGTTCCAATTTTGGCGAGCGACGTCCCGACGCTCTGCTCCGAAGTCCGTGGACGCGGCCGGGGCTGAAAACGCCATGCCGGTCTGCGCATGCACGCCCGCTATTCGTCGGACTGTCCCATGGCTGACCGCTGTCTGTGAAGAACTACTTCTGGTTTTTCCCTGTCCGGGAATGCGTTTCGCCTGACGGTCACCTTTGCCGCGCACCCCCGTGACCGACGAAAAAGTTATGACGCCCGGTCTTGTGACCACCGAGCCACAAATTTATTTTCCACACGCGAAATGTCAGCCGCGCGTAAACGCGCTAAACTATCCTGCGAACTGCGATAATTCAATCCGGCCAACAACATGGGTTCTCCCGTTAATAAACAAATGCGATCGATCGATCGTTGTTAACTTCGCGCCCATTGTATCCTTGTTTGCCCGCGAAACTGGGAACCGCCGGGTTCACCGCCATATTGTCTGCGTTCATCGAAAAGTAATGTAGGATTCCCAGGAAAGATGGCGCTTTTTCGGTGATGGGTGGTAGCCCTAACCTATAAATTTCTAACTTATAAAGATCTAATCTATAAATCTCTGCGCGATTATGATTTATTTCGATTGGGTAAAACTGCGGTTGAAAGGTTTGATTTGTGTATAGCGACGTCGCTGTAAACCGCTAAACGCTTAAAAAATAATTTAAAAAGTAAGTATAGATTTTGATCTGATTGGTAATGCACGCTTTGAATCACATATCGATTCTAATTCAAAGTAATCCATGTTATACAAGAGAAAGTGGAAAAATATTGACGATACTGAACTCCAACGTTGGGAACCATTTACAACATTGAAATGGCTTCCAGATATTTGAGTTTTGGTCAGTGTGATCGAAAAATTTTGGTTGATCGAATTTCAACTTGCGTTTCACCGCTGGAAGATTATAATAACAGATTATTTTTTAAGCGGATTGTTACAGGCCACAAAAATGGATCGCTTAATATAGTGTGGTACGCAAAAAGCATTATTCATTTCTAAAATCGGTTTCCACCTTAAGAGTGTCATGCTGTGAATATGATGGAATTGGAAGGGAATACTTTACTCAAACTTCTATTAATCAATGGACCTATTAATCCCACCAATTACTGCCCTCAATTGGTCTAATTGAAATTTTTTATTTGATGACCTCATAATGTTTTATCGTGGTTAATAAGTCATTGATAAAAACGTTTATTCTATAGAGACTTGTAAAATGCACATGTTTAATGCTTAAGTTTAATTGTTAATATATAATTATATATGTATTTAAAAAAAAACGACTATAATTTTATACGAAATATTCCCACCTTATTTTTCGTGAATCGAATATTTCGTCCCAGTTT